AACCTCTTCTATAGAAGAGGTTAGAACTGGCAGGAACCCACCCCTGGTGCTTATCAACATTACCCTGAAAGACTGTGTCAACTCGAGCAGATATCTGTCGGAATCTTCACAGAATGTTTGTGAATCATTACGGGCTGTGAATGACCATAATTCACAGTTGTCTAAATTAAAGAGGGTTTTTGGGACTACGTTTATGATTTATGCTTTCCCAGGAAGCCTACGTCAGAACAAATGGAGAACATGAGGGATGGGCCAGACAAAAACTTGCTAAGAGTTGTTTAGATAGCAAGGCAATCGTGAAGACTTTAGTCAACTTTTTTTTTTTAAAAAAGAAAAAGCATGTTCCAGGATCATGAGTTGGTTGGTTTAATTCATACCCGTGACCAAAAGGAGAGATGAAGTAGAGGCAGCAATGGACACGGTTGTCTTGAATATTTTTCCGGTTAAGGCCGCTTTCATCCCGGAAATACTGCTCAAACTGCTGATCTATATAATCAGCCACAGGCTTCCAACTGGGAAAGAAAGAGAACATAATTTAGATTTGGTGGGTTGAAATGGAGACAGCCATCATGTTTGCACAATCCAAAGTTTTACTGTAAATATCACACAGAACTTTTTTTTTTTTAAAAAATGCTCCATTAAGGAATTTGGAATTCCAGAACTGGTTATCCTAAACGATTTTTTCATACCAGCAATATAGCATAGGGCTATATTGATAGATATTATTGCTGACAATTGGGAAATCCCTGATTTTTTTTTCCAAATCATCCAAGGATCTATATCCAGATCTACTTTCTGCCATAATTAATTAAGAGGTTACATTCTTTTTCTTAGATGGAGAGAAGGAGAAAGAGCAGGAAGATAAGGAAAGTTGCATAACTGCTTGTGAAATAATTATGGCTAGCTACTCTTGGAAGCCTAAAGTTTGAAACCCACCTCTGCTAATCTCAATATATGTTCTTGAGTGAGCCACACACTTCTCGAGTGATCGTCTGTAAGTACCATGTTTTGCCGAAAATAAGACAGGGTCTTATTTTCTTTTGATCACCTAATTAAGTGCTTGGCCTTATTTTTGGGGAGGTCTTATTATTTTTGAGGTGCAGGAGGCAGGTAATAAACTGCAGAACATTTTAAAGCAGCTGTTAGATTCAGCACCTTAATTAATCACCATTTCCCGTAGTTTAACTGTTTTGAGTGGTTTCATCTATAGTATTATTATCAAGAAGGATTATATATTTTCTCAATCTCTCATAGAATCTTAGAAAAACAGAGTTGGTAGGGGCCTTGGAGGTCTTCTAGTCCAACCCCCTGCTTAGGCAGGAAACTCTATGCCATTTTAGACAAATGCTTGTCCAATTTCTCTCCCTCTCCCTCCCTCCCCCCCTCTTATTATTTTTGAGGTGCAGGAGACAGCGAGCGAGGTCACTTCATGGCTGCTGCTGTGTTGCAATATTTTAGGGGAGGGCTTATTTTGGGGGGAGGGCTTATTTAAGCACATGCACTCAAAAGTCTGATTGGGCTTATTATCCGGGCAGGTCTTATTTTTAGGGAAACACGATAGGATGGAAGCAAGGGTGAAATTTTGAACATCTCTTCTTATAGAGGGGAAGAAGGTGTGTTTTAGAGTACTTCAGTAGGACTTCTAATGTGTTCGTGCCTGATAAGCCATTGTGGAGATAAAGACTAAATATCTCCCTTCCCGTCTCCCTGCTGGTCCACAATTGCTGTAGCTCAGAAATCAGTAGAACTACTCTAAAGATGCAGCAGTCTTGCTTACATGTCAACACAGCTCACTCAATCTACCAGGAATCAAATTATCCACTGATATGGTATCTAATGACCTCAGGAATGGGGGGGGGGGGGAAATCCCGCTCCAGTTATTTTGAAAGAAATTATATCTGACAGGATCTTAGCCACCTTTTCAAAAACATTTAAATTGATTATGCACCATCACATTGGTATTGACTCTTAGCAACCACACAGATAATTTTCTCCAGAAAGATGCGTCCCTAACTTGGTCATCCAAATCTTTCAACAGGGCACTTGTTGTTCATCGATCTTGCTGTTGGTCGTCCTCTTTCCTTCCTCCTTTCCCAGCATCACAACCTTCTCCAGAGAGCTAGGACTTCACATAATGTGCCCAAAATAGAATAACTGAGCCAGGTCATTTATGCCTTAAGAAAGAACTCTGGTTGATTTGTTCAAGGATCCATTTGTTTATTTCTTGACTCTCCGTAGTATTCTCAAGAGTCTTCTCCGACACCAAAGTTGAAAAGTGTCAATACGGGTAGTGCTTGAATTATGATAGCAATTGGAGCAGGGGTGAAATCCATTTACCTTTGCTACCGGTTCGGCAGCAATGTGAGTGCGCACATGTACAGTGTCAAAAAGGTAAGGTAAGTGAACAGGGAGGGTGGGGTGGAATCTGTTGTGTCGCGCGATTCATATTAGCTAGAAAGCAGGAAATATAAGTTGTGCATCGCAGCTGATCGTTGGAAAAACCTGTTCACTCGAACTGATTTCATTTATGTTACTACTGGTTCAAGCGAACCGGTAGCATTTTACCCCTGAATTGGGGCCAGAAGTTCCATTGCTAAATGATGCAGGCGCAAAATATTATGTCAGGTGATCACATTGTTTAAAGATGGCAATGCTAGCAATTCCGGCTGCTATGATTAACTGAGACTCCCCTAGATTCAAAGGATCTACCCTGATCTAAGTCATTCTTGGCCTGGTCCCTCCTTTTTAAGTAAGGGGCTGCCTCCTCTTCAACTCCACCCCACCACCACCACCAATTTCTCTCCATCTCTCTGCCCTTTTGGTCACCTTGCATTATGATACCTCTGTCACCCTGCTCTCTGCGTGCCCGGTCATGTTGTCGCCCCATCGTCCTGCACTCAATGCTCCTGCCATTTCCCCCGGCCCTGATGCCCTCAATTGACCTTCCTGCTGCTACTGAAGTGCCTGGCTTGGGCCTTCATGAGATAGTTGCTGGCCCCACTGGGACGTCTTCCCAAGACTGTGCCAGCCCCCCTTCCAAATCATATGTTGCCTTCTCATGAGATTGGACCTCTGCCTTCTGTACTGCACAGTGTTCACTCTGCTTGTCACAAGCAAAAATGTGTGCCAGTTGCGAAACACACTATCAGCAATCACGACTGATGAACATTGCAACAATCATAAATCGGTCGCAAAGTTTATGTTTTTTACTACTGTCGTAACTTTGAACAGTCACTGTATCAGGTAGCCAGTAAGCAAGGACTACCTGTAGATTACTCATAAGGACAATGAGTTGTTCTGGGATTCCTGTTTTTCTAAGCACATTCAGCAGTTCGATGTGATCTACACAAAGATATTTCTATAACTAATGAAGAACATAACACTTCTTGTTGGTATTTGGCTTTCTCAGTCATCCAGCGTGCATCAGCAATAATGATCTCATGTTTCTAAAGCCAGTTTGAACATCTGGCATCTCTTTTTCCACGGAGGGCTCTAATCTGCGTTGGATGATCAGACACATTATTGTGCTAACATGTGATTTTTAAAATTAGCAATGGCTTAAGCAAAGAAAGAGCCTGAGTTCAGGGTGCCCCCTTCCTCTTTCTCTCCATACCACCCTCTCTCTCATCTATATCCCTAGGGAGTTGAAAAGGAAAAAAAAAAAAGAGATGCCATTTGGAAATATAATATTCTCAAGATCTGATGCAAGACAGGAATTCCTTTCTAGTTCAGATTTTAATTTTCTTTAATGAATACTATCAGACTTCAACATCCGGATCTGAGCCCCAGATGAACAATGCATGTAAAAAAGACTCCCTCTTGAGCAAGTCTCAGTTCTTCTTCCTAGTGCCTGCAGCAGGATTTACCTGTCCGCCAGCCAGCTGGCCTTTGTCTCTTGCAGATTATTTTTACCATAGTCTTGGCCTCCATCCAAGGGTTAGCTCATCCCTGCAAGAAACACCTAATGGGATTCCCTCCCTACAATTTCCCATGATTCTGCAATCAGGCTTTTTCCTTGAGCAAATTCCTTTCCACTTTCCAGGGAAACATACCATTCTGTGTTGTTTACAGCATCTCCAAAGCCTGGTGTATCCACAATGGTCAAGCGAAGTTTCACCCCTTTCTCCTCTATGTCTACCACATGCTTGGTAATCTCCACAGTCTGGACAATCAGTTCTATTCCCCGAGAGAGGAAAAAGGAGAATTGGAGAGGGTGTATTTGCAAAGTTCCAAATCAATTGAAATGTCAACTATGCAAGAATAAGATCTCTAATGGCGGGCCTTTCCACCAGAAATAAGATTCCTTTCTTATTTCCATTTTCTTTCAATTGTTTGGAAATCTTTTGGCTGCTTAAAACAGCATTGCTCCTGCGTCTTTGATTAAAAGCTGGAATTTAACAGAATCTGAAAAATCCAGGGAATGCATGCAGGAGCTAGAAATACTGCCATAGACCAATACCGTTTCATCGACTGCTTTGTACGGTTTTCCTAGTGCAGATTCTTTTAAGATGTGTGTAATTTCCCAGCCCTCTACTTTATTCTGTTTTGTGGACAACTGCTTAAAATAAAATAAAAAAGGAACTTTCATCATTTTTCTTTTTGTTTTAAAAAATAAATTAAACTTTCTATAAAACTTATAAAAGTGATCTATAAGTTTTCAAAGGAGAAGGAAACTGGCTTCCTTAGTCACACTCCCTCACACTACATCGTCAGGGCTAGCAATATTGGAACTACACTATATTGCCAAAATTATTCGCTCACCCATCCAAATAATCAGAATCAGGTGTTTCAATCACTTCCATGGCCACGGATGTATAAAATCAAGCACCTAGGCATGCAGACTGTTTTTACAAACATTGGTGAAAGAATGGGTCGCTCTCAGGAGCTCAGTGAATTCTAGCGTGGAACTGTGATAGGATGCCACCTGTGCAACAAATCCACTCGTGAAATTTCCTCGCTCCTAAATATTCCACAGTAAACTGTCAGTTGTATTATAAGAACGTGGAAGTGTTTGGGAACGACATGAAGTGGTAGGCCACGTAAACTCGTCCAACACCAGTGTGTGACCTCACAAATGCGCTTCTGGAAGAATGGTCAAAATTCCCATAAACATACTCCTAAACCTTGTGGACAGCCTTCCCAGAAGAGTTGAAGCTGTTATAGCTGCAAATGATGGACCGACGTCATATTGAACCCTACGGATTAGGAATGGGATGTCACTTAAACTAAGTTCATATGTGAGAAAAGGCGAATACTTTTGGCAATGTAGTGTTTTTCAGTGATGGCTAACCTTTTTGTTGTCACGTGACAAGTGTGTGCGCGCACATGACATCCCATGCCCCACCCCCTGCACATGTGCGCACAAGCCCCAACGATCCCCACATATGTGCATGCAACCACTACTACCAGTGCCGTTTTGGGCCTAATAGGCCTCATTGCAGCCTCCTGGGATCAAAAACAGGCTGGGAGAGGCGTGCCGCACCCCTCCAGGCTCCCCTCACCCCCATGCATGCACACATGACTTCTCTGCCCCTCCTCGCATGCGCACGTGTCTCACATATGCGCCCTGACCCCGACGCATGCATGGCAGGGACCCAAAAATCAGCTGCATGGTGGGAGACGCGTGCGCAGTGCAGCTGAGCTGGGGTGATGGCTCGTGTGCCTGCAGAGAGGGTTATGTATGGCACACAAGCCACAGGTTTGCCATTATGGAACTATTTCAATTTATTTTTACTTGCTGGTGAGGCACACAGGCTCACCAAGAAAAGATTTCCTCCTGGAGGGCGGATGGGTGTAGGCGTAACTAACCAACAGAAAGGAAGTGGAGCTAAGGAGCAATGATCCAAAGGACTTCTGGGAGCTGAGGATTCAGAATGTTTTCATCTTTCAGGCTAAGTATCACCATTATATAATTTTGCTTTATGATTATTTGATTTCCTTATTGTTCCACTGTTTCTTTTACAGTTATTGTATTTTTTTTCCATTTTGCATTATATTATTACGTTTTTTGTTTGTGAGCTGATAAGACAGTGTTTCTCAAACTTACTGTCAGACCTGGAAGCCATCTTCTACATTGGTTTAGGTTTAGGTTTATTAGTTTTATATGCCGCCCTTCTCCCAGGGACTCAGGGCGGCGTACAACATTAAAAGAAACACATAATACAAAAGTTNCGGGGGGAGGGAACTGGAACCGGTTCTAAACGGCACTGTAGATTTGTGGAACCTCTTCTATAGAAGAGGTTAGAACTGGCAGGAACCCACCCCTGCACCAAACGTACAGGCACTTATGTGAAAATACACGATGAAAGTTAAGATTAGAAATACTCTATTGTGCAGAAATGGAGGCTAGGTTAATATCAGCAATATTCTATTGTACGGAAGAGCTTAGCATTAGTGCTTTGGTAGTATGCTGAAGTGGAGATAAATACTAGCAATGTTGTCTTGAAACAGAGATGGAGCACTGGAATTTTCGCAGTCCCCATCTATTAGGTAACTTATTTTTCACTTCTTTCACTTTTGCAGTTGGCCATTTATTGCTGTTAGAAGTTGCCTTTGGTTAGGTGCTGGAAGAAGTGAGCGGTTGTTTTAAGGATGTTCTTTTCCACTGCATTATTTTAAAGTAATGCAAAGTTTAACATGTCAGGATAAATCACTCCTCTAGTGGTAAAGGATGTTTGCATTCATATAGCAACATTTTTAATCAGAGCGGGTAAAACCTCAGCTTAATTAGACCTAGCCTTGAGTATTTATTAATTTCATTAGTCTCGTGGCTGAGCACTGTGGTGAATGTAATTTCCTCTCCACTCAGAATAACTCAGACGTCTTCTTAAACAGACTTTGAATCACCTTCAGAAGGGAGGCACTTCTATCCTGGAAAGACTGAGAGATTCCCCTAGGTCCGGGATGGTGAACCTATGGCATGGGTGAGCCATTGCCCCAGCTCAGCCCCACCGTGCATGCGCATGCACGCTTCCTGCCAGCCAGCTGATTTTTGGGTCTCTACTGCGCATGCAGGCGGGGGCTGGGGGTCCCATGCACATGCGCAGGGGGAGCACAGTCGGGTGAAGCATGCCCCCCGCAGCCCATTTTTGGTCCTAGGAGGCTTCAGGGAGGCCTGCTAAGCCTAAAATGGGTTGTGGGGGTTGCAGCATGGGTCCCCCCCACGGCCTGTTTTTGGTCTCAGGAGGCTTCAGAGAGGCCTGTCATGCGCACATGCGGGGGGGGAGATAATGATGGGGTCATGCACGCATGCACAGGGATGAGGTGTGGGGGGTATCATACATGCATTGCATTATGGATGTGGGCATGCGCACGCGTGCTGCCTCACACACGCTTTCAGCTTGTGAGGACAAAAAGATTAGCCATCACTGCCCTAGGTCAAATGGTGGGGAACAATGGCCCCTTTGTAACTTGTGTACTTCAACTCCCAGAATTCCTGAGCCAGTCATGCTGGATCAGGAATTCTTGGAGTTGAAGTCCAGAAATCATGAAGGGGCCATCGTTCCCCACACCTGCCCTAGATTCTCCTTCTCCAGGGGACACAAACAAGATTGTGTTTGTGTATGTGTGTTTTTTTCAATGAAGCAAAGATGTTGGATGATGATTCAGCATCCACTACATGGTAGTTCTGAGGATCCAACCAGGGTGGATAAAAAACAATGGTTTTTTTAAAATAAAATAAAAATCAAAAAATCCATTTTTTAAAATTTAAATCAGATTTTTTTTTATTTTTAGCAACCTTTTTTTAATAAAATGATTTTGGAGTAAATAGTTTTCTGTTTAAGATACATTAATAATTTAGTTTATTCAGCATGAAATGGAGCTTAGTTATGTAGCATGAGGCTGTATATTTTGCAATATTGGGACTATCGGTGAGTCAACAGGGGGTTAGAGGAGGAGCTGCTGTGGGATAGAGATGACAGTTGCTCTTTAAAAATTATTTAAATCGAGTTGATTTAAATCAAGCCTTTTTACTAGTGATTTAAATCATGATTTAAATTGACTTGATTTAAATCAAATCCACCCGGGACCCAACCCATATAGATGATTTCTGAATCAGTGTAGTGTCCAGTATAGAAGATGTGACGATCCAGGAATCTAATTAATGCTGCTGCCAATAAACTAAAAAAGCAATTGAATCTTTGAAGTGACAACTTCAAATATTAACAATAAACTGAAACACTGCAACAATATCCAAAAAATCAGAATACAAGCCTCGATAATTACCTCACAAGATCATGGCGATTACAACAATGCTTCGGGGCGGGGGGGAACAGATCTAAATTTGTTGCCTGTTTCCAGTCTCTATTATGCAGCTATTCTCTGTTCCCAATTGCTGCAAACTTCTGATGTTACTCAAAGGTGGTAACAGATTTTACTTACCTTGAAGCTGTCTTTCAACAGCATCAGAAAAGGGGGAAATACTTCCTTTACACACTAAGGACAACTTAAGCTTTATTTGCTCATGGGCTGAGAATGGGAAGATCCCATCTGTTTTTGAACTGTAAATCCCAACATCCTACCCAAGGTAGGATATGGTTTAAGAAAAACAGCTGTCTAATATACTGTACAAATATTTTATATGTCCATTTCCTACCAAGCCTGTACTGGAATTACCTGAAAAGGGTCTAAAAAATGAAAACACATCACATGCAAAGCTAAGCAAAAAATTTAACAAAAAAAAAATCACAAGCTTTCCTCACGAATTGGTTCAAATCAACTTGATGTTTTGCTGCTAAAATGAACAGTTTGGAACTTTGGGTTGGAGACATCTACACCTCTACAGATCCCCCAGGGAATTCCAGATGTTCCCCAGTCCCAAAGGATAGACTGAGATCACATCAAATTACTGAACCACCTACACTGGTACTATAGGCCTGAGGCACAAATTGTTCACAGCTCTGCTTTTGGAATGCACTTTCATTGCAAAGGCCATCAGAGATCCAGGTTGGTTCTCCCCCCCCCTCCTCCGGGCTATTGTCCAATACATGCTCTGCCAATCCTCCTTCAACTGGAAATTGCTTTATTTTTTTTACAATGGCCTAGGAATAAAGGCAGCATCCTCTGTTGCAGAATAGAACAAGGCAGGAATAGGGTCACAGTGACTCCCCAGCCATCCTGCACCCTAGTAGAGTAGAGCTTGGCTTATCCAACCTAATCAATATCACCCATTATGC